AGGGAACATGACAAGGCTGAGTGACCTAGAGAAAAGCATAGTTGGAAGACGACTGGAGGAGCAGGTGAATGATAAGAATGCTCTACAGATGGAAAACCTGCGCTGACATAGTGAGTAACACAAGTATGAAAAGGATTAGTAAAACCATGACCAGAACTAATACTCCCTCCGTTCCTTAAAACTTTGCCATCTTTCCTTTTTGGGACGTCCCAAAAAACTTTGCAACTTTCCCTTTTAATCAATTATTTTGTGGTTTCTGTTATTTCTCACTCCTCTGCATAAACCTCAACCACACACTTTTTACTTTATTATTCTACGTGTCGGTCAACTTTGGCAAAGTTTTAAGGGACGGAGGTAGTATTACTTAAAACTGAACTTGTACCACCAGAATATGGAGGACCACGTGGAGGGAGAATGGGTTGTCCAGGATGACCACCGCTGGAGGAATACCACCGGGCTGTGGATAATGGGGGTATTGCTGATAGTACCCGCGGCCACCTCGTCCGCTTCCCCCACGACCGCGCCCGCCGCGGTTTCCTCTGCCTCCAGGGCCACGGCCAGCAGCTCCATCGTGAGGTCCGCCGCGTCCGTTACGTGCCTGGGCTGCCACAAAGGCCTGGTGTGCTGGAGCCGAATCCTGAGTCTGCAGGAAGGCATCTCGTTGTTCTTGCGCTTGGAGAAGAGGGCGATGAGTTTCCAAATCTAGCCCCGGAAGATAGGAAATCGTGTTGATAAGGGATTCATAACCACGCCCGAGACCAATAACAGCATATTCAACAGATACTGCCATAATTTTTATTTCCGCCATAATTTTGCTGACCGGTGAATTTATAGCCGCAAGAGAATCTGCCATAATTTTTATTTCCAACGGATACTGATCCATAGTCTGAGATTCTTTCTTTTTAACATGAGATAATAAACGTTTTAATTCTATGGATCTAGCAAAACAAGCGGACATAAAATTAGACTGTGACGAGCACTTTGTCACGGTGCGTCAAAATAATTTCAATACTAACACTTATACGTAGTATAGGTGAAGTAGAGTTCGTATACACAGGGAAAAGAATAATTCTCTTTTTATGAACTTAGTAAATAAAAGGGGGGTTTTGGGATTAAATGATTTAATTTAAAAACTAAGATGAACCACCTATATGTGTTTTAATTCAAAGATAAAGGAACTTAGCATTGCTACTTTCCACTTATTGATATATTTTAGTCGATCATCGTTATATCTATAACTTTGTCCCTCTCGAATACTCAATCGAGAATTATATCCAATTCATCGAGGGGAGTTATTAACAACGACCGTTCATTATTAACACTTACTATTAGTCAAGTATAGAACACCGTCATATACCGACTTGATAGTAGCATTTAATCTCTTAACTCCTTGATGAAATCAATTGAGATTGATAACCTCAACACAACGGTTTCGGTTTAACCAACAAAATTAATCCCTCTTAAGTTTATTAACCACGACCGTGCATTAATAAACCGAAGTTACTTACTTGTGAAACCATCAACGATTAACCATCGATTCGTCGATCGTTTCTAGTAATAATTAATATATGAAACAAAACTAGTTGATCCTTTAAGTAATGTTCAAAATATTAATATGAAATATGAATAGGAATTAATTAATATTCAAGGAAGAATATTATTAAAGGAGATGAATCCTATTATAATTAATATCGATCAAGATGCTAACTAATTGTCATCTTAGCAACACTCCCCAACATTAATATAGAGGGAGAAAATACTACTCTAACTAATGTCAAGATGTTAACTAATTGTCATCTTAGCAACACTCCCCAACATTAATATAGAGAGTATTAAGGAAAGAACTAATAATTAATATTCAAGGGAAGAAGTTAAGAAAATAACTCACAACTTTAATAATCAACAAGCTTCAAGAGCAACACCAAGAATGGAATTTTAGCTCTTCATTTGGAGACTAAACATAGCTAGAAAAATATAAAGAAATGCTATTCTAAACTGAGCTTAAGAGTATGGAAGAAGGGATGATCAAAAGTGAAGCAAAATGAGGTTATTTGTAGGTGTTTTCAACACCTATGCTCGGATACCCAGCCGGGTATTTGACATACCCGACCGGGTATTTATCAAATCAAATCTTTTCACATGTTTTTGTGTTCTTTTGCACGTTGTTTTGCCCCAAATCACTTCATACCCGACCGGGTATATGGAATACCCGACCGGGTATTTGCTAGTTTTGCAGCACTTTCCTTTGTCACTTTATACCCGGCCGGGTAAAGTCCATACCCGGCCGGGTAAAGTCCATACCCGACCAGGTTTTACATAAAACTCAAGTTTTCTTCATCCTTTTTGCTTCCAAACCTATCTTAAACTTAAAGCCCAACTAGCTACAACTTACAACACACAATAAAATGCCTGAAATACAATTACAATCAAATGCAAACTAACAACTACAAACTTGCACAATACTAGTAAATAAACATTACAAACAATAATAAAAATGTATACTTAGACACTAACAACTAGTGCCTATCAGACTGTAATCTCTCCCACACCTGTTGAGAATGCTTAAGAGTATAAACCTCCATGAGGACATTCCTGCCTAACGTTGCAAATAGCCAGGACCTGACAGTCTGATCAATTTTTAGCCAATCATGATAATCCGAATTAGGCATCTCACGTCTAGACAAATCAAAAATAGTAGGTCACGGCACCCTAATTGAGCCATCTAGTATCCCTAGTAGACTATGAGATACCAAAAATGACTCAAACTGAGTGCGCCAGGGCAAATAATCTTCAACGGCAGACAATCGGGTAGTCACAATATTAGTCACGTTGGGTGTTGAGAATGCTAAATGTGATGCCAATGAAGATAAAGAAACTGAATTTGTAGGCAGACCTGGCTGTGAATGAGAAACATCTGATGGCAGTGGTTGAACCCCGGCATGACCAGATAAAGTAGGGCCAAAAAACATGGCGTTTGATCCGCCTAAAACCGGGGGTTGCGTGAAGACTGGTGGCGGCTCCAAAGTTGTTGTAGGAGTCCAGGTGAAGGGCTTTGACATGTTAAACAATTTGTAGGAATCCAAGGGCGGAATGGTGTTCATGCGCTGCGCAAGAGATGCTGCTAGCGGACTGATTTGCGTCGACGCAAGGAGAGAGAAGGTGGGCGACCGACTGCTGCCGGAGCCATATTCAACGGAGCTTGAGTTGAAGGGGAGCGTTGGGACGGTTGTAGACTGCGACGGCTTCACCTGTGTTTGGGGCGCCATAGTAGCCGATGGATCGGCCATGTAGGAGAAAAAAAATAAAAAACCCTATGCAAATGATACGACTAGAATTGGAGAATGAAGGCTTACCCTATTGGGTGTCTTAACCATATATTTATAGTAGAAACACAGTTATGGAATATTACAAAATAACTCCTAAATATTACATTATTACCTAAATTGTCATGATTATTCTTTTATTTTAAAATTTTTAAATGTTATTTAGTTTTATTAAACTAACAAACTTTTGTGACCAAAAGTTTATAAAAAATTAGCAAATGAAATTAATAAATCAAAATGAAATGTTAGGTCTTAGATTAATAGTTTTCCATCATTTGGATTCTATAATGATACATTTCATCTTTAAGATTAATCTACCGCAAATAAGAAAATTCGGTTTTGAATTGATAAATCATTTTTCACCGTGCATACACTAAAACCACAGAAAATAAGAAAATTCAAGTAATATATATTGTACATGCGTACCTATCTAGACGAAGTTTGGTCATATGGAATGATGTACACTTTAGAAAATGCATCTAAAACATTCAGTACTTTTTTTTTTAATTTCAATTGAAAAATACTACTACCTCCGTCTCAAATTGATTTTCAAATTTGATTTTTCTTGGTTAAACAGTTTCATTTTAGTCGCTTCATTAGATTGTCGATTTTTAATTATATTCTAATTTGGAGTTTGCAACTTTGAAGAGATGTTAATGTAGTTTCTGAATACGTAAATTTTTATTATTAAAAATTAAATTAATTATCAATATGGAGGATTGACTTTTGTTAGTTATTGATTGACAAAAAAATGTTGACTTTGGAAAATAATTTGGGACAGAGGGAATACTAAAAATAGATTTAATCATATTTTGGATTGGTACGGCGCAGCAACATAATTACTGAATTTGTTATTGATGAAGATATATATATATATATATATATATATATATATATATATATATATACTCCCTCATTCCCAAATTGTAAGATACATTTACTATTCACTTGGTCAACATAAATCACTCTTAATCTTTTACTTTATATATCAAAAGTTTATAAAATTTGAATTACTTTTTGCAGGTTTTGTAGCGGTTTGAATGTAGTTTCTAAATATGTAAATTTTATTTTCTAAAACTAATTTGAGTGTTGACAGAGATCAATTTGCTTTATCATCGGTCAAACATCGTAAACCGTAAAGTATCATACAAATTGGGACGGAAGGAGTATATATATATACATATATATATATACATACATATATATATACATATATATATATATACATATATACATATATATACATATATATATATATATATATATACACATATATATATATGTATATGTATGTATATATATATATATATATATATATATATATATATATATATATATATATATATATATATATATATACAAGATAAAGTACGGCCCTATCTCAAACTGTTCAACACACACATTTCATAAAGTACTCTTATTCCTATTACGTAATGATTAACACAGGATAAATGTGAAAGTTAAGTGTGCAGCTGTTTTAGGAAAGAGATCAGTAGAAAGCAAGGAAGGAATGAAGGAAAGTAGTACTCCATGTCTCTGTATAAGAAAGAAAATGGATCCCACAGTGATTATCATTTTGTATCACTATTAAGTATGAATCGCTGATTGTTAACATTTATAATAATGTATATAACCTCTATTTGTCGAAACTTTCACTTCTTCCACTAGAGGTGGTTTCTTCCGTAGAAGGATGTGTTGGTGCAATATTTCGTCATTCGATAGGACACATTTCTTTTAGATCTAGAGTTATCTAAAATTGTGAAAGCCATAATAAAACATCATTCAACATCCATTTTTCAAATACTGCAATACCAAAAGTGACAATAAAAACTTGTAACGTCAAAATATTATCCTTCAACTAGTACTAAAATAAAATATGCATATTAGGTCATATGTGAAAGCAATTTCTACTCGTCATTCAGAAATGGAGTCTTCATAGCCATGAAATTGTTGATCTCTCCCAATAGAAGTAGAGCCACCATTGAGAGCTCCGAAACAATAATCAGATGCAATATTTGCCCCGGGAGGAAGGATATTCTTTTCAATTAACAATTTTTGCATCATTCCAACCGTACTTTGGAGTTCTCCAACACGATTCAGCAGTTCGGTATATATAGGAACATTTGAATCATCTTTGTGTTTCTTATTTTCAGAGGAAGACCTTTCCCAACCAAACAAACGAACTGATTCCCGTCCAAGCACCTTCTCTAATATTTGTTTATGAGTCAACTCCTTGGTTGAGTTATCTCTTCCCAATTGCACCATTTCTTCCTGTTACATTGTCAAATACATATTAATTAAAGAACATATGAACATAATTTTTTTGACATGCATCTACAAGTCTCATATTTGAAAGAGGAAAATTGTCCAATATAAGCTGCTATAATATTTCCAATTCAACGATTAAATCCCTGTACTTAAAAAACTTCATTAGATAGCTTATTAATCTTAGGTTACTGGTAATCATTTCTTCATACATGTGATCTATATGGCTTTTTAATTTTATTACTTTTCTATCATGTATCATTCTTTTCTTTTGCTTTTTCTATTTTCTTTTAACTCTGCTTTTTTAGCCTTCTTTCAAGTAAAGAGATGAACAAGTTGATGGCTGGGTTAGTTGAAGAAAAATAAAATAAAATAAAATGAAATGAAAAAGTGGATGTCAAGTAAGTGCCAACATAGCAAGTGAATGGAGAAACATAACCACATAGGTTCCAAACTTTTGACAACTGAGGGTAACCTTCAAACCATATATATTGAGTACTTTTTATAGTTAGTGTCCTATTTAATTGGGTATTTTTTGTGCGATGATATAATTGCCCAATTGACTATACTACAAGGACTATTTCACAATTTTCTCTATTTGAAATAGCATATCAAAGCACTATACTTGAAGTAAAATATACTTACATATTTAGATTCTGCTTCAGGGGATACCCACCCACGTTCTGAATGCCAATGACGGAGATGCCATGTCTCGATATCTCCAACAAAGCATCCAACTCAACTCTACGACTGATATGATGACGTGTTGTGCTTTTAGAACCATTTCTAGAATTCCATTTTCTCTTTTTGCAAGATCAGCATTTTTCAGAGTTTTATTCTATAAAATAAACATAATAAAAATAAAAGTACTATAAAAATAAAATATTAGATTAACATTCTGTTTTGGGACTAATCTGTGAGTAAAACTGAATTTATTCATTACAATACACAGGGTTAGATTTTGTCCAGATTCATCGAGGATTAGGTGATCATGACATGTATATATAAGATGGTAGAAGCATATTACCATATATGAAGGGTCGCTCCAAGATTCACACAGATATTCCCAATCTTGTTTGCTAACTCCTTCATAAGGGTCCTTCTTTGCACTTGTTAGATTACTCGGGCCTCCGACTTTTTCAAAGTATGTGCATAATGTGTGCATGTGTCCATGCCAAGCTCGTTGCATTTGTCTTAGCTTTTCTGATATTCTCATCTCTCACATCAACATCAAATAGTGTCTGCAAATAATCAAAGTATATCACTACTTTTTTTCACTTTAGTTTAACAAATTCAGTCAAAAAAATCAATGAGAAACAACAAAGCAAGCCACTATAAATGTACCGAACTATCAAGAAATTTTCTTTTTTATCCTATTTTCACCAAAGAAAGGTTATGCTGACCACTTACTTGAAGTTTATGATGCAATGGTGCCCTAACATCTTCTGGCACGGACCTCCAATCATTATATTTTAAGTCACAATACTTACGCAAGATATATCCAATTTCGTTACGCAAGATATATACTTAAAGTAACAGATAACATACTACTACACAAATAAATTTTTTTTTCAAAAAAGATTTGTCTTTTTATTAATAAAGCAAAAGTTGGGGGAGGTTACATGGGTCATCAATCCCGAAAAGGATTGGATGAGAGCAAAATACAAGAAAGCTGAGTATTAAATCGACCCATGCTAAGTAGGAGTCCATATCGTGAGGCCCAGGAGCATAATCGAAAAGGGATGGCCCGTCTGACAGAGAACATAGTGCGTCCAAAGAATGATGGTCGTTCTATAGGGTTTCGTATCTTCTAGATGTATAGAGAGAGATGCTCTTGGTCTTTGTCTGGATCTGCTTGAGACTTTGGCCGGTGTCCCCGAAGAATGCCGCACTTCTCTTATCGTCGTAATAGGCCTTCTTGGCCTTTGCCGGTAGAGTGTCCTGGAGTCAAATTTAGCTGGCGTCTCTGAAGAGGCTGATGCCATTTTTGTCGTTGAAGAAGGCACGCTTTGCTCTGGGAGGGAGAGTGCTTTGAGTGTAGAAGGCTATTGACCGGGTGTTAATGCTAGATTGGGCGATGAAATGTGCCACCGCGTTCGTCTGGCGTGGTCGATGCAGAAAGGTCGCCTTGGAGAAAACCCTCACCGTTCGTAGTCTGTTGATCGATTCCTTCAGGTAATTCGGAACTACTACACAAATAAGCTTCTTTAGAAATATTAAGTCATTCTTAATTAAATTATTCTGTAAAGAAGACAACTACAAAGTGTAAACTAAACAAGTAATCGGCTTCTATTAACTTATTAAGAAAGTAGTAAAAAATCATTAGGAAAACAAGTGTAATTATTAAGCAAGTAAATCACTGAATAAATAAATAAATAAATCACATAATCGGCTTGTATTCAAAGAATAAACTCAAATGGTGTGCACTCACACCCATGATCTCAAATTCTCAATAGTTACAACAAACTTATGGCAAAGCTGAGAACAAGCACCGCCGAAGACACAAAAGTCTATGCCCAACGCCTACAATGGAAGCAATATTTCACTGCTTTTCTCATCCTTCTCATATGATTTCAATTTTGAAATGCCAAACCCGATTTAGACATGTATTGAACTACTGATGTAATTTTAACTTAGAGCTTTTATTATTTTATCATTTAATCAAACTACGCTGGTCAAAATAAAAGTGAAAAACAAAAAAAAAAGTTTTTGGCCCAGTAGCACCAACAACATCCATTGAGCGCCACAACAGACATGTTTCCGTCCAAACACATCTCAGCGAACAACGGAGGTCCGGGGCAAGACAATAATACTACATATATTTACCCTTAAATTTCCAGCGAAGGGGGCGCCGACATGGGCTCGACCCCCTGATTCCGTCCCTGAGTGGTGAAAATCCATTCAAGAGTGATTGAGAGCTTGGCTTACACAATCTTGTCAAGAATACGAGATATTTTACAAGCAGACAGTATTGCTCAAACGCCTCAAATTAAATACACCAGACAAATTTAAGCAATCAAATAAATAACGAGTAAAGTCACAATAAATTTACCTCTACTTCGTCACCAAGAAGAGAGGATCTCAAAAACCTTCTTCTCTGATTCGTCTTCCTTCGGCCAATTACAGAAGATTCCTCACTTCGATCAGAAATCGGCAAATGTTGTTGTATACTTTAGCTCAGGTTTAGCCAGTAGATGTTCTTATATCTTTAATTAAATGTAATTATGAAATAAGAATGTCATAAGTACGAAACATGACCATAATACTCAAATCTAATTGTCTACTGGATATACTAATACTAAGGACTTAAATTTCCTTTCTGCTATGAACAATTAAAAATTGGAAAAAATTGGATCGGCTTATCATCTAAATTGCAGCGAGTTTTGGCCTTTAAATATAAAACAATGAAATTCTTTTTATAGCAGCTCAAATCTGGTTTGGTGTCTACAAAGCTTTTAAACTAAAAAAAGAAATGTAAACACTTTTCAGTTTGGTGGTTCTCTAAAACTTTAGCATTCAAATTTCACTCGACTCTTTCAAACAAAAGTTTCATTTACAATTAGATATAAGAAAAAAAGTTTAAAAAAATGTGAAGCTTTCTGAAACATGACTAATTTGCTGCCCATCAATTAAAAACAGAATTTAAAATCAATTGAGTAATCAACATTGGTAAAAAGAACTTGTTGTGTCAGCAACGAAAGTATAACAAAATTCTATGGCTGAGTACTAACTAGCTACTGCATACATTCTAACTAATAGAGCATAAATCATGGAATTAAAACTTAAAATAGATACATAAGTAAGACCTAACTATACCAATTAGGTTTTTCAAGTTGTTAAATACAGAGATTAAAATCGCAAGAAACCTGTCTTCCGTAGCCAAGAAGAGAAGATTGCAGCAGTCTAGTTCTACAATTCGCTGATTAGAAAACAAAAGCTTTGTTACGGCCAGCAGCAAAAAAAAGCCGATTGTAGAATGAAGAAGAAGGAAGGAACAGAGCCGTATGAAAGAAAGCGGATAAGGAGGTGAAGTCAGAGTCATAGTCAGATAAATAGAGATAAAATCGCAATAGTATATACCTTCGTCTTCCGTATCCAAGAAGAGATATCCGCAGCGAAGAAGCGAACGGAGATTGCAGGAGCCGATTGTATACGGAACTGAAAGAGAAGCCAGAAGAGGTGATTGTATACGGAGTTGAAGGAGAAGGTGAAGTGATAGGGTTAGGAGTTAGGGTGAGATAACTACATCAGACGTGGGTATTTTTTTTTTCTTTTTTATAATTTCCAAATCATTCTCCATTTTAGCCACACATATTCAACCTATGTTATTTATGTGTAGGTAATTTCACACCTAAAAATTCCACGATAAATAAGTGCCTGCCGCGAAGATGAAAATTAGACCGAAAATTTCCCTCCATTTTTTTTGTCACGGAAAATATTTAGCCACACATAAATTTTGTAGCTAATTAAGCTCATAACACGTTATCAATTCCCCACACATTATCAAATTATGTGTGGCTAATCACTCACACTTAATATGTGTGGTTATTTTATGTGTGAGTAAAACATCTAATTTCTTGTAGTGGAAGGGGTGGACTAACCCCTTGTGATATATAAGTTCTTTTCATAACCAGACCACTTCTATTAAACAATCACGAACGACAACGAAGAATCTCTAGTCTTTGTTCATGAAGCAGTTGGGGGTATTGCGCTATGGACGTATACTCCCACCATTGATTGAGTAATACGAAGTCCAGGAGTTAGTTAATTTTTGTTTGATAAATAGAAATAAATTTAATTCTTTTTTATATTCGTTTAAAACAATTATTACAAATCCAAAAAACCAATTATTTAGAGAGAAAAACTAAAATTGAAAAATAAAGAAAAAAACTCAATGTCGAAAATTAAAAATGTCAAAAAATGAAAAATAAAAAATGAAATTAAAAAACATGTAAGTGAAATTAAATAAAATTCATTCTAAACAATTAATCATAAAATGTTAAAAATGTATAGAAAATTTAGAAATCAAAACTTGAAAATAAAAAATTCAAGAAAATATAACTCTAAAAAATATAAAAAATTGTAAAAAATAAAAAAGGGTCAAAATTGTAAAAAAAAAACAGGAAAATAACTTTAATAAAAAAGTAAAAAATTTAAATATAAAAAGTATAAAGAGTGTAAAAAACAAGTCTCAAAAAACAAAAAGCTCAATTTTTTTAATAGGCAATTAAATTGCAAACGCTTTATACATGTGTATACTTTGAACTAATCTCGCGAACTTTATATTTGCAAACGCTTTCTTGATTGACAATTGTATACTTTCAAGTTTAGCCCGACCAATAGCATTGTTAAATACACTAAGATGTAAACACTTTTTCCATAGTATTTATATAATTATTTCCTACAGTTCTATAATATGATTATGTGATCTTTCAAAAAAGAATGCAACTCATTTTTAAATCAAAGAATAATCTATAATAATATGATTATGTGGTCACTTCTCCCTTTGTGTCGTCTCCTTGTTTTCAATTGACACACCTTACCCCTTACTTGACTTAGTCCGCTTGCCCCCTCTCTCTCTCCCTATGTTGCCCTTTTCCAGTCGAAACTAGTTTACCGGTCTAACACCGCCCTCAAACCTGCACTTCGGTTTACGAGGAAAGTAGTTTTCCGCGCGTCCAATTATTCCGCACATAAAACAAAAGATAGATAATTTCTCATATCTGGGGGTGGATTCGGTTCGGGCCACCCGACCCGTGACCCGGACCGACCCGCTACTGTACGGGCCCGAAACCGGTCCGGTCACCCGGTCCGAACCGAGCCCGGGCCGGCCAGGTCGATTCACTGAAATCTAGCCCCGGGACCGAACCGCTTGAAGACCGGGCCGGGTGGCCCGAACCGGGCACTAACCGCCAAACCGGGCCGGTCCGGGCCCGCACAGTAGCGGTCCGGTCCGGTTTCGGACCGGTTCGCCCGAACCGAGTCCACCACTAGCTCAAGCCTCAAGGCCCCAAACGGCTATATAGCCGTTGGGTGCTCGAATCAAGGGTGTCCCGGGGGTGGGGGTGGGGTGCAAAAATTTCTATAAATACTCCTATTTTCTAACATTTTTATACACATCTTCTCCAATATCCAATCTCCAATCTCCAATCTCGATCTTCATCTCCATCTATTCTAGTATTTATAGAATTATTATATTTACCATTTTTAAGATGGAAAGTCAATATGCCGTTATCGCGTATAATTTTTATACGCAGGACCCGAGGACCTAGATGTGGTACGCAACTTGCAAATGGTTCGGGAAAAAGTGTAGCTTGAGGGTTTCACGCGGATACGGGATGACCAAGAAGCATATTAAGTCATGTGACAAAGCCAAAGGACCAGGAAATTCCAATTGATTACGAAATGTATTTCATATTGTATTTTTTTTTCTTAATTGTCAAATGTAGTTCCTATTTCATTTCAAATAAATGCCCTTGAAGTTTTTTTTTAATACTTGTATAAAACTATTAACTATAAATAAGTAAAAAAAATGGATTTATCCAGCCCGACCCGGCCCAACAGGTGGCCCGACGACCCATGACCCGGGCAGGTGGCCCGGCCCAAACCAGAACCGTCCTTACCCCGAACCGGAACCGTCAAAAAATAACACATAAACTGTCCCCTCCTTGCTTTTACAATATCAACAATTCAACACAAACTCCTTTTCACGGAGACTATATTCATCAACTTGAAATTATATTCATCAACTTTAATTCTATATGCCTATATTCATGAACTTTAATGAACCTACGCGTAAAGTTCCAATTCTCATACATTGGAAACGCTAGTCGAAATAAAAGTACTCTACCAGTCGATGTGGCCTAATATTTCATTTTAAATTGTACGCATCATCTCTTAGTAATTTCGTATAATAGATTAATAGTGTCACACATCTTTTAAAAAGGGTGTCAATCATATTATAGGACAAGTTCAATCATCGAAAAAAATGATACTATAAAGTATTAGATTTGTTGTCTCAACTCTCAAGGTAGTACAAGGATAAGTCCAAATGAAAAGAAGCCACGGCTAAACAAGTCAAAAAGAAAACAAAACCAAACTTGATAATGATATATAGATAAGTCCAAATGAAAAGCATGCCTTCATCTACTGCAAAACTAAACAAGTAGTTCTTTAAAACAATCGCTCCGAACATTTCATTTTTTAAACTCCAAAAACATGCGCTTAATAATCTAAATGGTCTTCTCCAAGTTCTTAATTATGTGGAAGCCCTCATGGTCTTCACCATAATCCTGCAACAGGAAATAATAACATAAATCAATAGAGATTCATTAGAATAGAAACATGCCCAATGTGGTAAATGCATTATGAGAATAAAATATAAAATAAGGTTGACATTCAATTAAAAATTTAAAGGAACAATACTATCCCCTCACACCACTATCTTAGTCAAAAGTAAACAGCCAAAATCCAAACCATGTAGGAGTTGGACATTTAGATATTAGTTGAACATTAAAATTTGGCATTTCAATCCTATTACTACACATATACACGACCTCTAACATAATAGAGGGTATTAGAATCATATTATAAAATTTAAAATGAACAGCAGTTCAGCCAGTGAAACAGAAACATACTACCTCAAGTCCATTACATTTGTAAAAGTATGAATTATTGTGGGCCACAAAAATGGCCAAATTTGGTACAGGCAATATGATTTGGAGAGGGCAGAAAGAGAAACATGGGGCCACTGAAGTAATATTTTTCAAGATAGGTACCTCCACAACAACACAAGAGGAACCGACCACCTTCCTTGCCTTTCCTTCGGAATCAATCTTGCACAACTGCAAAAGAATAGCAATATGAATTGGAAAAAAAGACGCAAGTCATTGAATGATGAAACTTGCTCCAATCCAGTAGAACGTTGTAATAAATAAAAAACAAGCTACTTTCAGAAGTTCAGTTTCACCATGCAAAAGGACAAAGAAATGAAAAACCTTTTGAATATGTTCATTGACTTTAGCTTCTAGTCTTTATGTAGAGCAAAATAAGTAAACAAAAAATGACTTCACGCAAAATACCTAAAATAAAGACATTTAGTTCAAACTGAGCTTTTACTTTTAGAAGATGAAATAAATATGCTCATAAACTATATACCACAGAAAAATACACCCATCAACTTTTTCTTTTGAACAAATGAACACAGATAATATAAAGTTGGTAGAAAAAATACACTTGAACTACATATGATAGACATGTAATTAAATGGAGGGTATCTATGTTCTTTAATATATGATTCTATGGTATATTTGTGTTACAACTTCACAGTTTTTGTGTTTAATTATTCCCCAAATAAAATTGACAGGTTAAGTTTGTTCTCTAATAGGAGTATATACTCTATAGTTAAAGAGTTAATTTTTTGATTATTTCATTACTCTTTTATATTTCTTTCTAATTTCACTTTTATTTTCTAACAATTTCTTTCATAAAGGTTTTTTCTGAATTCAAAACATAGCCTAAAGGAAAAGATCTGACATAAGACGATTATAAATACAAGAATTACTTACACCAGACCACTCCCCAAGAGTTTTAGCACTGGGCACAGAAATCAATTTCACATTGTTTTCAGCACAGAGTGCTTTCACCAACTTGACGTAATCAGGTTGATCACAATCATCAGCTAAGACACAAAGCTGTGCTTTGTTCTTCCCAATTGCCTTGGAGCATTGGCGAACCCCACGAAGAAGGCCACCATGGGCTTTAGACTTCTTTAGTACCAATTGCAATGCAGTCATTAGGTCCATTGGTTCCCCAAGGGCCGCTGGGGCAGCAGCTTCTGGAACTGCAACTGCAACTTCCTCTCTGAAAGTATACATATATTAAGAATGATGGGCAGTGTAGGGGATAACAGATACTACATACATCCCGGCTTAAATGGCACAATTACTTGCACAATAATTTAATGTAGTAATTCAATATAATTTGAGAAGTAATTTTGATGGGCATATAACATAATGAGCTCATTCATGATAATTGTCATCTTATAGGAGTATCATTTTTAATATTTGATGATTAAATTGCCATTTAGGAGAATTAATTATATCTAAATTGAAACGGAAAGCTTTAGCTGGAATGTCCAAAAAAGGGCAAGTGAGAAGCTTAAGGCTATGATGGAGTACATAGGAAAACATGTACAGATGCAAAACTTAAAAAAATATTATATACATCAATCCAAAATATAAAAGATAAAATTTTCTTTGGATATCATTCTACTTCAATTGGAGAATATATTGAAATTAGATATATACATAAGATTTGGCTAATAAAAATTAACGGAATGATGAAAATAGGGATGTCTTGATAAATAAACTTGGAATGTAAACACTATCATACGGTCTCCTACATGTACCTCTAAGCACAGATCCAGGCATTCAGATCCGAAATAGAAAATAAACCAATTCAAGGAATCACACGCGAGGCAACCAAATTGAACAATACAATCTAGCAAAACAGACTTACCCAGACATTTCCTTCAGGTAGATGTTATCCTCAAAACTTCAACCTGCCTGTTAACAACATTGAATCGTGAATGGTAATACTCAACATGCACAGTTCATTAAAAAACGTCAGTGCATAAATATTATAGTTTCCATATCCAGTCATCTGAGAAAATTGAGTGAGAGCATGGTAATAAAAAATAAGTGTTAGATTATGATATTCCTGCTCAAGAAAGAAGTGAAACGCGCAATTCAGCATGGATATAAAACTCCATTGATAGATAAATAAGTGCGTTTCGTATTCGGACAATTGAAACGGGAATTGAGAAAATTTGGTGCCAGGAAGCGAAGGCTGGAGATGGCGGCATACCTGTCAGTGGAAGAAGGGCGAATAGTCGATTGAAGTTGCGCCTGAAGGACGAAGTGAAGTTTATATACGATCTTTCTAGGGTGTATAATAATTTATAGTGAATCATTACGGTTGGGCTTCATTCCAATGAAGAATGTTATGCTCGGCCCAACAGTTATTTTTCAAAAAATAATGAATTATGTAACCTTTCTTTCTTTCGCAATTCAAGGAAATCAGCAAATCCAATGTCCAACACCCATAAAAATGTACATCGGTTGTAAATTATTTACTCCGATCGAATTTGTTAACAACATCTTTTATGTTGAATATAATGTGTTTATTGAATTTTTGTTAAGAAATGAGAAAGATCATTGTAAAGAATTAATGTGTGTGCGGTTATTATTGCTATGTACGTTTTAGGATGTTTTTACTTGGACCTGAATTTTCTGATCCGGTCTGATAATGGCTGGCTTCTATGTATTTTATATTTATCCATGTCTGGTTTGATCTGGTCTGATCTGGTCTGTAACTGAAAACAGTCCAACTAAAAACATCCTTAGACATGTTCAAATACAAACAACAACAACATCCAAGCCTTAATCTCAAACGAATTTGGGGTCGCCTAGCATGAATCGATCTATGATATTGATGCCTAAAAGAGAAGGCAGACAAGAAAAGGAAAAAAAAAGTAAGATAAAATGAATAAAATAAAGATACATAAATATAAGATAACAATAACACAAGAATATAACCAAGATAAAAGAAAAATAAATAAAAGAGCATAAAAAAGCTAGAACATAAAAATAACATAAGAATATAAAAAGATAAGGAAGATAAACGATAAAAGAAACAAGAGAGGAAATGTAGACAAGACATCAATCGTCCACATGGATGTGCGCCCTCCACTTTGCTCTCTCCAAAGCCATACTCGCATCCAACCCAAGAAGACGCATATCAGTTCTGATTACTCTAATCCAAGTCTGTTTGGGTCTTCCTCTCCCTCTCTTCTCTGACTCTTCTCCCCACCTCTCAAGTCGTGTAACAGGTGAATCACTCGGTCTTCTATGCACATGCCCAAACCACCGCAAACGAGACTCCTGCATTTTATCTTCTATAGGTGCTACTTCCACCTTTTGTCTGATTACCTCATTCCTCATGTGGTCTTTTTTGGTATGTCCACACATCCAACGCAACATACGCATCTCTGTCATACTCATCTTTTGAATGTGGCATTGCTCACCGCCCAACACTCTACGACATACATTAATGTCGGCATAATTCTTGTACGATAAAATTTACCTTTCAACTCTGATTCTATGACATACATCTCCATCTAATTCACCATCCTTCTGAATTATGGATCCTAAGTAACAGATCATATCACACACCGGTATCTCATTACCATCAAGAGTAATCTCACCGTTGATACTGCTTCTACCTCCACCGAACTTGCACTCCATATACTCATTCTTGCTTTGGCTCAGTTTGAAACCCTTGCTCTCCAATGTTTGTCGCCATACTTCCAATTTTGCTTTAGCACCGGATTGCGTCTCATCAATCAATACAATATCGTCGGCAAACATCATGCACCACGGTATATCTTCTTGAATTAACTTCGCAAGTTCATCCATGACTAAAGCAAATAAGAAAGGACTCAGAGCAGATCCTTGGTGCACTCCAATAGTAATAGGGATCTCTACGATCCTCCCTACACTAGTGTGGACACTCGTAGTACGAGCATCATACATATCCATGATGATGCTGATATACTTACGTGATATGCCTTTTCTAGTTAAGGCCCACCAAAGAACTTCTCGAGGTACCCTATCATATGCCTTTTCGGAGTCAATGAACACCAAATGCAGATCCTTTTTAGTGTCTCTATACTTCTCCACAGCTTGTCTAAGAAGGTGAATGACCTCAGTTGTTGAGCGTCCAGGCATAAAACCAAATTGATTCTTCAAAATTTTCACACTTTTACGTAGTCTTTGTTCAATCACTCGCTCCCAAAGTTTCATGGTGCGACTCATAAGCTTAATCCCTCAATAGTTAGCTCATTCTTGTACATCACTCTTATTTTTAAATAAGGGAATGAGAGTACTCTTCCGCCAACTCACTGGCATTTTGTTGTTTCTCCAAATCATGTTGAAGAAATGTGTTAGCCACTCGATGTCTTTCTCTCCCAAACATCTCCAAGCCTCGATCGGTATGCCATCTGAGCCCACTGCTTTCTTCCGGACCATTTTTCTCATAGCCTCTTTAACTTATGTTGTTTGAATCCTTCTCACGAAATCCTTATTTACCATACATACACTCTGGTATAGTAAGATCATCAATACCTTGGACTTTATTCCCGTTGAACAAGGTATCAAAGTAGGACCTCCACCTCTCTTTTATTTCTTCGTCGTCCATTAATACTCTTTGATCGACATCCTTCACACACTTAACTTTTCTGATATCTTGAGTCCTACGGTCACTTTTCATACAATTCCTTAGAATCCAGCTTTACATACAATTCCTTATAAGGCGAGCAAGTCTGTAGATATGTTTTTCTCCTTCCTTAGAATCCAGCTTTACATACAATTCCTTATTCACTTTCCCTTTAGCTTCCTTAGACATGTTCAAATATGCAAAAAAAAATTATAAATGGGGAATATATGTAAGATCTCGTTTGGTGACCATGTTTTTTGGCTTATCAGGCTTATCAACTAACTTTTTCATGAAACACGTAGGGTTGGAGTACAGTTACTTTTCTGGCTCTATTGGCTGAAGTTACTTCATATAACTTTTTAGCTATTTTTTAGGGAATAAGAGAATCTTTTTAGCCGTAATAAATAATAATAAGAGAAACTTTTAAGCTACTTTTGTACGTAGCTATTTTTTGCTGTAATAAGAGAAATTTTAGCCAATTTCACTGTTATCAAACGGACTCTAAATGACATTGGTAATATGTTTCTCTTTGGTAATTAGCGAATCACACTACATATAATATAACCCAAATTCATCAGATTGAGATAAATGTTAGTTGTGTGACTTGTGTCGGGTCATAGCATTTGATTTTTGAGAATGTAGCGGCAACATTAAGAATTGGTTTTGAATCAATGTTCTCAATAAAATATATTGACAATTATTGCGTCAAACTGCAAATAAGTGATGGCCTTGTTTGTTTTTTGGCGGATTCGGAGCAAACCGCTGCAAAATGCAGCGTTTTCATTTGAAAAAACGGCGGATTGAAGCCAATCCGCTATTAACCAAACTAGCCGATATCAATCTAGTACTAAATAAAAGTATTGTAATATAAGTAATGAAATGTTAATCATTTCAACTCATAGGATACATTGTAGTAGGGGTGTTCGTCGGTTCGGTTTGGTCGGTTTTCGGTTTACTCGGTTCGGTTTGGTCGGTTTCGGTTTTAGGAAAGGTGAAACCGAAAACCGAACCGTAGTACTTGAGTCGGTTTCGGTTCGGTTTCGGTTCGGTTATTTTCGGTCGGTTTGGTCGGTTTCGGTCGGTTTTAGCACGTTTTTTGTCGGTTTTTGTCGGTTGGTTTCGGTTCGGACGGTTTTTAATCCAAAAGGTGAAACCGTAAACTGAACCGTCAATGATTAGTCGGTTTGAGTCGATGTCGGTTTGAGTCGGTTTCGGTTTTGGTCGGTTCGGTTTCGGCCGGTTTGTCGGTCGGTTTCGATTTTTCGTTTTTTTTGTTCACCCCTACATTGTAGGGTATTTTATTACATGAGTTTTTTTAACAACTAAGAAAAACACTACTTGTAACAATTAACCGGTAACTTAATCATATTTAAGTATAATCCAGGACAAGAAATATTAACTACTTGTTTTTTTAACAGAGCTTAAGTTGTTCAAGGTGTGCATCATAACTTAACTTAGGAAATTCAAATGACTTCTAAGCTTATAAATATAAGACCATAAATAAATTATTTGAATAAATTCTAAAATGTGAAAATATTTAGGTGTTACTACCTCCATCCCAAAATGTAAGATGCATATGAGTTTGGTGTTGGTTTTAAGAAAACAAAAGATAAAGACGTTGTTTTACAAATTTAATCTTCCAAAAAGTAAGAAAGGGAGAAATGAGTCCACAAAAAGTAAAAAGTGAAAGGTAGATTCTATGGAACCTTAAAGATACCGTACATTTGTCCATATGGACCAATCAGAATGATATAGTTGAATTATTTAAATCTAAATTAAAAATGATGTAATGATTTGAACCAATTAAGTGAGTGACAGATACGAGAGTTTTTCCCCATTGAGAGGTGTTTTTCAAACTTATTTCCCAAACTAAGGTACTTTTAAACTTATTTCCCAAATAGGGGTATTTTTTGCCATGTCACCTCAGTATCACTGCTGGGCGCCACATCAGCTTATCCACATCATCCCATCAATTCCATGTCATCAATTTTGAGAGTTTAGGTGTGCTTCTAAAATATAGAAAAAATGAAACTAACAGGATTCGAACCTGGGTGGAACACCAGAAAGGCATGTATGTAAACCACCACACTACACCATTCACTTGTTAACAAATGTCTTTTAAGAAGTATAAATCATGTATACTTCACCCCGGGAGTGCACTATTTCTTAATCGCATGTATTATTTGTTCCTTTAGAAATACGAAGTATATTTCTTCCTTTCCCAAACAATTAAAAATATAACAATAAAAAACTTATAAAATAAAATAAAACATAAGTAAATTTCATGCTAGTCCACTTTAAATTCTATAAAAGGTTTAATATTAATGTAAAATATCGTATAAATTTTTCTTTATGAAAATTCTCTAACAGCTCAATTTTGTTCAGCCTCAGCTCGACTCCGCCTCAGAACCAAGCATTTTTCGTTTATAAATTTATCAAGTTTTTTTCTTTCTTAGATAAATATTATATGATTTTCTTGACATGAATAGTATCTGATTTTAAATTGGGGTGGGATAGAGCCTTTCATAACATTTAGTAACAATAAATTTTAATTAAGTCTTTATTTTTAATTATCACAAACCTAGTATTTTGCATAATTTTTTAATTATTTTAAAAAGAAGCTATATATTTTTAAAGCAATGAGTAATACACAGCTAAATGTATACATTCTTCGACTTAAAGTATTTGTATTGCAAATTTCACTAAAATTTAACATGTTACAATTTAGTTCAAATTTGAGTGTTGTATTTGAATTTGAAACAATAATAATCAATGAGAAAATTGATCCAGAAGAGTTGAGCTGCTATAATGAAATAATCACAACGAAAAGCTTAGTTTGTGATATTTAATTCTATAAAAATGTAATTTAAATTTATAAAAAAATTGAAGTATATAATTTAAAAGTTATTTGAAATAACTCAAAAGTAAATAAAATAAAAAATAAGTAAATTTCATGCAATAAGTAACTTAGAAATAAGTAACTTAGAAATATGACTTTTATTTTAATTGATTTTATTTCATTTGAAGCTAAGTTATTTAAAAAAATACATATTCCAAATTGTGTTTTGTCATTATAAGTTTAGATTAATTTTTTGTATTCTAAATAAAATATTTCTTTATTTTTCAAATTAAATTAGCAAATTATGTTTTTATTATAAGTTTTAATAAGATTTTTAATTGAATAACTCAAATTCAGTTTTTTATTATTACATTTTTTATTGTTTGGTAAAGAGAGATATTTCTAAAGGAACGAATAATACACGCGATTAAGAAATAGTGCACTCCCGGGATGAAGGATACATGATTTATACTTCTTAAAAGGCATTTGTTAACAAGTGGATGATGTAGTGTAATGGTTCATATACATGCCTTTCTTGTGTTCCACCCAAGTTCGAATCTTATTAGCTTCATTTTTTTCTATATTTTAGAAGCACACCTAAATTGATGACATGGAATTGATGGGATGATGTGGATAAGCTGATGTGGCGCCCAGCAGTGATACTGAGGTGACATGGCAAAAAATACCCCTGTTTGGGAAATAAGTTTAAAAGTACCTTAGTTTGGGAAATAAGTTTGAAAAACACCCCTCCATGGGAAAAAACTCACAGATACGGTATCCCATTTTTTAAATGGGTACCGGAGTTGTCACTAAAGTGAAATGCTAGTTAAAAGGAAAACATATCTTTCAAAACGGGGACATGGAGGAAGTAATACTTTGTTTGTGTTAGTACCACTACAAAAAAAATCGCTTGTAATCACGGACCGTAGTCACGGATTTGGTCCGTGACTAGTTAGTCACGGTTCTAATCACGGTTTAGTCACGGATTTATCCGTGACTACGTCCGTGACTAACGTGTTCCGGCCAACCCAATTTCAGCTTCGGCGGTTTTTTTTTAAATTTGAAATTAGTCACGGATGGTTCCGTGACTAGTTCCGTGACTAAAGTTAGTCACGGATCCGTCCGTGACTAATGCCGTGACAAGTGCAAAATTATTTTTTTTGCTCCGACAAATCGTACAAAAAAATGTAGTCACGGACACATTCGTGACTACGTCCGTGACTAGAAGTTTTATATATGCAGCCTCCGCTTCATTCAACAAAATCACACCATCTACTCCAAATAGAATTCCAGATAGAATTGAAGGATGTAATCTACTCATCTCATATCATTTATCCTGTTTATGCAGATAAGGTATGTAATTTGAATTACGTATTTTTTGTATGAATTAGTTGGTTCATTTTAGCTACATTAGTTAAATTAATTAATTAGCTACATTAGTTAATTAAACTTTTGTTAATATTATTAGTTAAATTTAAATTAAGGCGGCCTAATTTAGGATTAATAATGATTTAAATTAGGGTTAGTTAATTGAAACATTACTTAAGTATGATGATTTATGATTGTGAATTACGTAAATTAGTAAAAAAAATTATAATATTAGTTAAATTTAAGTATTATTTAATTTAAATGAGTTTATTATATATATATATGCTCAAATTATTGGATTTGCTCATATTATTTAATTTAGTAAATTGTTAAATGTGCATTATTGATAAGATTAAGATGTTGATTTTGTGACAACTTTCAAATCTACGTGTACCTGAATTGAATTATGCTTAATTGGACTTTGCTTAATTAAATGTTTGTCTTTTTATTTATCTTCCATTATACTCCTATCATTTATTAATATGTCTTAAAGAGCTAATCGCTCACCATAGTTAACTAAAATATTTATTTTGATTGTAGGATAAGGGTTTGTCATTAATATTTCATCCTTCTTTATGAATGAAAGCTTCTAATCACTTTTAAAAAAATATTTATGATTCCCATTCTGAATTAAATATCACTATGTATTTAGTTTCACAATTTTATTTGAATGAATTTGTAAAAGTGATTTTGCATCACACGAGATTCCAATTGTATAAAATATTAGACTAAATTAATTATATCTTCTTGCCCATTATTTAATCATTATGAGTTTAATTAGACACGTCCTTAATGCATTCTATTTATCATTAATCAGCAATTCATATAATGACCAAAATCATTGTGCATTTTTTAAATTTAGGCCGATTTTCAACTTCTTCTATAGTTGTGGTTTTAAATATTTTATTTAGTACTTCTATGATAAATATTTCTACAATTAATAAAAAAGATAAGGTTTGAATAACTGTTATTAGGCAATCCAAATAATGATAAAATTATACTACGTACAAACAAATATCTAACTTTAATAAATATTTATCAAAGGTAGACGGCTGGTTTGAATAAATACACGCATAAAAGTTATAGGGATAAGAGTTTTAAATTAATTAGGAAATGTTTATTAGACAATATATTTAAATGATTATACGAGTAAACTATATAATTAAGTTAATTAGGAGCTGTTCTTACGTTCAAATAAATCGTTAAATTGGATATTAAATTTAGGAGATGTTTTAATTTGTGGTGCCTAATTTCCTTCAATATTTATGAATATCGTATTAATTTCCTAGTAGTCCATGGTGTTATACATATATTCAAATTAGAATCCTATTTAACTGGTATTAGTGATATTCGATGTGATTCCAATTAGAGTGATATCCGCATGTGTCTTTATTGTCGGTTATAGAATTGAATTTTGGATAGACAGTGAGCCCCTATTAATTAGTGGAATTGATTAAAAGGTTTTAAAATAATGACAATAATAATATGGAGTAGTTTTTCACCAATAATAGAGTGTCATTTCTGTGTTTCATAATTGTGTTTTACCAGCTAAAACAATACATGACTGGTTTTTGAAAGATTTATAAGCAAATTTATCTTATTCTCTTTAAATAAATGAATAAAATTAAAAAATCAATATTAATTTAATAATTATAATGAATGCAAAAAATGAAAAATATTTTTGTTTGAATGAAAAATAAAAAGAATTAAAAAATCATTTTTCCTTCAATGCTTCCTGACTGTCTGTAAATCAAATTTCAATATTGCTAACCTAAAAGGAAGCATTGAACACAAAATGATTTTTTTCTATTTAAACACATTTTTATTACTTCACAACAATAATCAAGATTGTATATCAAAGTCTTAAAATATTTCTTTTATGTTACCAATATTAAAATGACATGAAAATAATAACAGGAAGCATTTAGCACATAATGGATTCTCTTTATTTTATTTTTTAATCTCCAAACTCAATATATTAATTAAATTATTTTTGGATATGTATTTTTATTTATTAAAAGTCAATAAGGATAAATCTACTCCTAAATATAAACTTTAGACATATTTTTACACTTTCTAACTTTTAGGGGCATATTTACGAATGCAATTTTGTTCACCCTCTTTAATTAAAAAGGGTGATGGTCATCCCCTCATTCTTTGGTTGTGATGTAGTATTTCAATCTTTTTCTTTTTTAAAGTTATTTTTTTATTTCTAATCCAATTTTTTATAAAAAAAATAGTATATATCAAATTAAATATTTTTATGGTCTTTCCAATGGTACCAATATTGCATATAAAAAATTTGAAAAAAACAATTTTTCCTAAATAGCTAATTTAGCTTTTTTTAATTAAAAATATATAATATTGGTACCAAATGAAAGATCATAAAAAATTAAAAATACTGATATATTTTCTAAAACATAAATAACCGTAAATGAAAAAGTTATAAAATTGCAAAAACAAAACGAATTAACTTGCCACATGAGTACATGACAACCTAATAGGGAGGGGTGAACATTACCCTCATTTGAGAGGGTGAACAAAATTATTTTCACCCAAATTTAAACATCGAGAATATATTTGCACATTTTTCTTTTATTCAATACAAACTATAAACCTCAAAAGAACAAATTTATAAACTTTGATGAAAAGGTAATGATGTTTTGTAAATTATCAACCATACTTACGTGGTATAGAAATTATTTCACTTGTCAAGCTATATTTAAGTTTAACATAACATTGTTTGAGAAAACTTTTTTAAGGTTATGTCATAAATATTACTATCTCCGTCCCCCTAAAATTCGGATAAAAGAGGTGCGGTTTTTTAAGAAAAGTAGAGTTATGTGATTGATAATGAATTGATAAAGTGAGAATGAAGTAAGAATGAATTAGAACCACACAAACATTACCAAATACAGTGAGACAAATTTAGTTTAGTGGAACGAACGGAAAAGGAAAAATGAGACAACTATAGTGGGATGGAGGGAGTAGTATATTACGAAGTAGCATAAGTATTAATACTAAATTTCGAAGTAAGAACCAACAGTTGCCCCCAAGGCCGCCCTAGGTCCTCCACAAACCCAGACCGATCCAAAACGGTTTTGGTTTTTAGCCTATACGTTAAAATGAAAACCAAAATTGGTCATTTCCGTTCCAATTATGGAAGAACCAATCAATTTTGGAATTGATTCTGCTTATTTTTTTAAAAGTAGAAGCATAAAAGTTTTGGGGATCCTCCAACTTCTAAAAAAATGTTTCTAGAATCATTGTGGAGCACCTAGAAATACTTCTTCACATTCACCCAATAAGTAGAACTGTAGAAGTGATTTTAACAAATAGATCCAAACACCCCTATATGACTGAAGTTCTATCAAGTTTTTTCCCTCTTCAAAGATGGGGTGTCATTCTTTTCTTCTTCTTTATTCATCTACCGTCATGCATGCTTACATTTTGGTGTTTGAAAAGAATGTCAAAATTGGTGGCACTGAACAACTCAGGAATCTATAAAATGGCATTCATTCATAATAAAAGGAATAAGGAAATTGCCGGAACTAAATAATGCCTTCAAGATACAAGAAGTTGGAGGATGATGCCTTGAAGCAAAAACATCATATTCACTAACCTTCTTAATAAAGAACATTTAAAAAGAAAAGAGAGAAGAAGAATATACAATTGAAACTACGAGCAGATGATGCACTGCAGCCAAACACGGCCAAGGCAATGAGGTTTTGCAACTTGCAAGAGCTCCGCTCAACCATGGAGACATCCTAGATATGTACATACAGTCTGGTTCAGCATTGGACAGACAGAGATAACTCCAATTTCTATTCCACAGAGAGGTTAGCAACGTGCTTACCAAAATCCACACTTTTGGAAAGCAGATGGCTAGAATATGGTCTCCTTTTCAGTTGAGGAGGTGCTTGATGTTGTTGCTGACATAAAGCCCTCAATCGTCCCCTCTCTCTCTCTAGTACCTCATGCTCCACTGCACATAGCATTCACAGTATATATTTCTGAATACTCTCCTAATGAATTTTACACTTTCCTTTTCCATTTGTCTCAAAATTGTCTTTCCATTTCTTTTTTAAGTGAATGATTGTGCAGCTGCATTTTTTCCTCTGAAACTAATGTTATTGTTTTAATCTCCGTACCGGAAGCAGCTCTTAAAATCAAATAAGGACAGTTGAAACAATAAATACTCCGTAATTCTTTTTAAGGAGCCCGTGCGGCACACTTTAATGTGCTATATGAGGAAAAACAGTTATGTGGTCCACGTGGATTCCAGATTAGTCTAATGGGGCCTACGTCGCTTTATTTCTCATGTGGTAGAGTGGACACGTTTAAGTTTGCCGATATGGGCTCCCTAGAAGGACTCGAATAATGAAATTCAACTTTATGCTGCAAAGTGTTCTCAGAAAGCCTCATATTTTCTACAACTCAAAGTTCAAACCAGTCTTTGATACAAAACCAATCCTTATCACCCACTCACACCAGTCTGGCAATAAGAACACAAGCAAGGGATGATTCAAGCCGAATAAATCTTGTACTAATAATTATTTCAATTCGAATAGGAGGGTTACATGTCTTATATGTTATGGTACAGTGATTAGAATGTGCAACAAATAGAACAACCATCAGAGAGTTGACATGGTATAAGTTAGGACTTAGGACTATAGATAATGGAACTTAACCAATTGTGCACAATTTAGGAGCATCATGTGCCTTATTTGGGAACGTTTGAATCAGGTCAAATGACATTATGTAGGTATGTAATCAAGGTGATGTAACATATCCTACTTTGGCATAGGAAATTCTATCACCTCAGCAGTGTATGTAATCATTGTCACGTTTGCATTCTTTAGCAAAGGACGCGCTAATACAACTACCTCTATTTCCCTCTTAATGCAGCATTACATTTCTGTGAAAAAACTTTAGAATATTGTGAGTTTGGGATTGATAATTTGACAACAAAAGTTATATTGCAATATGTGAACCAAGTAGCTTAAAGAATATGTACACCGATATTTTGATCATCTTATGTTCTCTTAGGGTATGTTTGGTAGAGGGGTTTTGGACATTTGGGGGTGAGAGGTGGGGGGTGGGGATGCATTATTCTTCATTTTAAGGAAACAATAATTTACCATGAGGTTTTTCTCTAAATAGTTGATATAAAATGATAAACTAGTATAAGTCAATGTCTAGGTCGTTTATTGATTTCCATAAATTACTTACAGAGTATAATTTTCTGAATTTTAAAAAAGTAATACCACACCCACTGACCCACCCAAAGAAACTAAAGATAAATAAAAACGCAACTCCCAAACATAGCCTTATAGACAGTACTTCTATGGAGTGTCACCTTTGGTAATTTCACACAATTTGAGAACCACACAATCCCTAAAAACTAAAAACAACAGCAAATGGAGTAACTTACAATACTTTATAAGCTGTTCTTGAGCTAAGCTTTCTAACCGCTGCTTCAAAGCTTTGTTCTCCATGCTCAAGATGAGATTTTGCTGGTTCATGAATTCAAGCTGAGCAAAAGCTTCAGAACCTTCGGCCTATAATAAAAGAATGGAGTAACACCAACACTTTCAAATACCAGAAAACTCTACCCTGAAACAATTAACATGCAAGTAAAATCTCTAAAGGGCAGATATTGTATGTACGTGCCTGTAGAGAGTGGACGATTCTTTCCAACTCAGCTATGTATTGCAGCTTTCGGACTCTGGAGCGTTGAGCGAACTGCCTGCATAACGTAGATATCTTAAGTTGGTTGAAGTGCACAATTTTCATTTGCTGCAAACGTTCCTTATATTTTGTTCAAAAAGAAGAAGATTCTTTGAGAAATAACTGCATCGTGAGATAATGACACTAGATTTAAGAAATCTTATCACATATGGTACCCAACATTCATGTTTTGGACTTCTGGTGTGTGACTATTGATTTCTTGCCACTTCTGGTCATTCCAACTACTTATCCAGCTATAGTCTAAAACAAACCCCAAATTTTTAAGTGAGTGTGACACTGTGACTCTTAATCACTAGATGACTTGGATGATTCTAGGCTTCAAGGCTAAACATGAAGGTTGTATGTGGGTGTATCACATAGTAATGGTGGATTTCCTGTTGGTTTCTTGCCACTTTTGGTCATTCCGTCCACTTATCCAGTTAATAGTCTAATACCAACCAAAAATTGTAAACTTAGTGTCAACAATTCAGTCACTTGAGGATTCTAAGTTTCAAGTCTAAAAAACAGCACAGTGATGTTACAAACAAGAAAATAGTAAAAAGAATAGCACCAAAATCATATTGCAATTTAGCTAGGGGACATACTGTTTTACACGTTTTGTGTCTGTTTCCGAATCATATATCTTTGCATTAGAAGAATCCTTTTCCGAAGAGTTTTGCATATCATCTGGACGAGATTCAAGAACATCCCGGTTCACAATTCCAGGAGATTGTGCCCTCTCTCCGTTTTGTGGTGGATATGAAGATTCTGATTTTTGAAGACCAATGTTTTCTCTAGGTGAGGGAATACCACTGAGATGGCCAATTTTATTCGGAGCTATGTCTCTTGCCCTAGTCACGAGTATGCTTGAACCATATACATCTCGATGCAAATCAGGTTCTGTACTCAATGTAGGGACATTAAACATGTTGTTTCTGAGCTTGTCATGACCTTGAACTAAGTAACCGGAGTTCGCAAAGGAAGCAAACGAGTCACTAGACGAACGTCGGTGGCCTCCTTTATCTACAGGGCTGTCCGGTTCATTAAGGAGGTCATCAAGCCATGATGGTTGTTCATCCATTAAAAAACTTTCAGACGAAGTACGCTGGTGGTGTGGATTTCCTTCTCTTGGTTTAGGTGTACCTTTTTTTAGAAATGTCGGGATAAATTCAATATAGGATGGAGGTATGGAAAGATATGGACTTTTAGGGGGGAGTAATGAATTCTTCCCACTGCACAATATGTTTCCGGTTCTCAATGATCCTTTGGAGTTTGCCATATTAAGGCACAAACCTATTACTGTAAGAAGTAGACACAGGTCAGAAGAGGAAAGATGTGCAGATCTCCCACAAATACTAAAGAGTTGCAGCAGCAACTCAAAATAGCCCAGAAAAAAGCAGAAAAAGGAAAACAAGGATATCATCTATCATGATAGTAATTTAATTCAGTGAAACAAAAATAAATTTTAAAAACCATTATAGTAATGAAAACAAGAATATCATCTATCATGATAGTTATCTAAACTGATGAAATAAATTTACCTATAGTAATAAATAGATAGTAATTGAAATTACGGAATCTAGAAGAGATTTTAGAAATCACACCACTCCCACCCCATCCTCAAGAAAACAAAAAAATGACAGTAGAAGAATAAAATTAAGATGATAAAACATCATAATAGATTCTTTCCAATTCAAGATGTCTGCCTGTTTAAATTACAGCAATAAAAAGAAACATGAGTGGAAACATCAAAGCTGAAGGAAACCAGTCATGCAAGAAGCATAAAACCGAAGAAGATCAATGATATCTCCCTTTGCACAAGCTTCCATATCACAATCAAATCTATATCGTTTTCGAAAGTCAATGAAGTAGGAGGAGTTTTCATCGGAATCAAATTATGACCACCAAATAAAAAAATATTAACATTTAAACAAACCTTTCCACGCAACCACATTTTCTAATCAACCAAACTATTCAAACTTGATGAATACACAAACGAAGAAGCAAATACAACAGAGACTTGATGTTGGATAAAAATAGGCTAACCTTGTTGTGATTGCGACCTCTACAGGCGATTGTAGGACTGAAAAAGGGAATCAAAACTAAATCCGAATGATAAATTATGGTTTAGCTTCTCTCTTTGTTTCTTTTTAAGAAAAGAATTTTTCCTCTCGGCGTTCCGTTGCGGTATCTACCAAATTGAAAAAAGGGCAGTTTACAGGGATTGAAAAAAGGCTCGAGCAAAATATTCATAAAAAATGGAGAGAAAGGGGCCCTTGAACTATTTGTGATTTTGGCCCCTGAATCGGAAAATTTGTAGATACACCCATTAACTCATTGAAAATTATGCAATCATGTCCGTTTTTATCTGTTGGTGCAGATAAAACGATGATAAATTACCGAAACTAGTAGGTGAAAAGGGTCTTGTGATTGCTTACTTTTCAACGAGTTGAGGATAAACTTTCCCCGTGTTGAGTCAAATTAAGTCGCAGGCTCCACGGTTCATACGGATTAAGGAAATGAATTAAAGAGAGATAATTTCCATGTATCGCAATCATATGTGTTCCCGCTCGTCGAGTGAATCTGCAAGTTTTTCGGTTCATGAGCCTGATTGCAAAATCGTAAATAGTTCGAGTACTTATTTGCCTCTTTTCTCAAAAATGAATTGTCCTGAGTAAAAACGTTTCTTAATTAGAGTAAAAAACCTAATACGCCACATGGAGGATTGGTGCGCAACTCGTCTGCGGAGTTTGGTGCCTTGAAGTTTTCTTCGTTGACGATTTAGAGTGTAGAGTTTGATTTCGCTTAGCTTCAACGGGAAGACAGAGGATGAAAGGTGAGGAGTTGAGTATGGTGCAGACTCCAGAGGTCTTGTTTGAGCCGTGAGAGGTCATGGTGCCGTGACTAGGATGAGAACGAGTAGTTGTTTAAGCACGAGGGTTGGGGAGCGACGGATTTGGAGAAGGTTAGAGTTTGACCGGCGATGAAGGAACAATCACAATGATACTGATGGTCGGGCCTTCTCCTGAAGCACCGCCATAGGTTGAACGAGGTGCTAGGTTTCAAGAAATTTATCCTATTAGAAAATGTTATTTTATTGTTTGAATTCTTGTTAAAGTTTATGTTGTTAGGTTTGCATTGAAAATTTAGCTTATTTTATGTCGAAAGAAGTATACGGATCTATAAGACTAGTGGTAGCCGTCTGAAACCGTTTCATGTTTAGTGATTCATGTTACTCTTTCAGAGGCGACTGTTTCTATGTCTAATCGTGGAGTTTACATTCATAAATGGTGGGTGTTAGACTGTTAGTTGGTGACAAGTATGATTTTTTTATTGATGTAACTATTCTGAAACTTATGATATAAGTAGAGATCATTTTCTTAAAAAGGTTTTTGAATTTTAAAATAGGCTTGTCATATTTTTATTTCCTAAACAAGAGTAATTACTGTCATATTTTTTAAACATGACAATCCTATTCGCCAAATTTCCCTTACAAAAACCCTTTGAAGGTCAATTTTGTATGAGTAAGAGACTTTTGGTCACCGACTATAGAATTCCCAATATTTAGTCCCTAAGTATTTTGAAATTGACATTTTTAATCCTTTTACTATGATTTTGTCATGATATGTAGAGAATTAAAAATGTTATTTTGGTTCTTTGACAAACTGAGTTGGTTGTTGTCATGATATGTAGCGGATAATATTAGTTGTTTTCACCAACCTCTTTCATTAACTATTTGTGATCATTAAAGATATATATTTAAAAGTATATACTATCGTATAACTTAATTTAATTTCATTTATTTTCTCCGGTGTTAAATAAAGTTCTCACTCTATTATTGGAAAGTTTTTAATACAAAATTATCCTTATACCCCTTCTTTATTTACTTATTTTACACTTTCTTTCTTTTCTACACTACACATAATCTACTTTTTGTAAGAGCATAATGAAAAAGCCAAAAGAGAAAGTTTTACTTTCGTAAAAACCGTAAAGTCAAACCGTAAAGTCAAACCGTAAAGTATGTTTTAACAAGTTTTGGGAAAAAGAATAAAAAATACATTTACTTTTATTTTATATAACTACTACTGCTACCACTTTTAACATATGTCAATTTACGTGAGCAAATACGTATAAACGCATATATTTTTAGTATTAACTTTTCAAATACAACTATTTTACTAGTTTAAAAAAACTACCACTATAAAATAGCAAAAACATTCATAGTGAATTTAAAAACTAGTAAAGTAATCATATTTAAAATATCAATACTAAAAATGAATTCATATGTCTCTGTGTTCGCGTAAAGTTAAACGTACATACTAAAAGTATAGTGATAGTTGTTTTACGGAGTATAAATAAAAGTAAATGAAGTATAATTGTTTGTTAAATATATATACTTTTAAATTTATATGCTTAATGGTTATCATATCTTAATCACTAATCACAACCAACCAAGTTATCATTTACTTAAAACCACTAATGAAAGCAGTTGATCGCAAAAAAAACGGTAACTTATTCAATTGGCTAGCAACCAACCACTGATTACAAACATTGTCATTAGCATTTTTAGTCCTCCACTTATCATGGCAAAATTACAATAGGACTAAAAATGTCAATTTTATAATACTTGGAGGACTAAATTTTGGGAATTTTAAAGTCGATAACTAATAGTGCCTCACTCACCGCAAATTGACCAATTTATTGCTAAAGTTTTTTCCCAATATGTGTTGGAGCTTTTTTTTTATCAAAATGTGTTGGAGTTTGTTTTACCAATTTGGCAATTTTCCGCCTTGTTAGTTTATTAGTGTACGATTAAAAATTGATAGAATTCCTTAAATAGAAGTAAAAAAGTTTTGAAATTTCAAAATAGGAGTATCATGTTTTTTATTCTTTGAGTAGGAGTAAATTTTTGCCAAGTTTGGCATTACTAGGTTGTTGGGATACTGGGCCGAAAGCCCAATATACCAGGCCCATTAGTCAGCAAAGATCCAAAGAAGAATAGCTCCAGTAATTAGTTATACCGAACGGGATACATGGATGATGGAACCACAAGGGATTTATACTCCGAACGGGGATCGGGTCATGCAGGTAACTTGGATTAGATTAATAATGATAGCAGCATGGGCATCGTTCTGAAGCCCGAATGGGTAGCCTGCAAGTGGCAAGGGACATTTAATGCTAGGGTATGGCGTCAGCAAGTGGGAGTATGGGCATCCAAGTGGCACGAGAACGGCAGCAAGTCATATTAAGCCACGTCATCACCCCATCCCCTTTTATTAGTATAAATAGGGGCTCTAATCTCATTGTAAATGGTGAGCATTTTGAGACTCAAGGTTTAGAATAGCTTTATCATTCTTGTTATTGTATTATCACTATTCTGACGTGGCGTTCGGGAAGTTTCCCGTGTAATCAGCGAATTGCTTAATACAAGTGGACTTTTTCCACTTGCTTATTATTCAGCTTTTATATTTTCTTAGACCTTCGACTTATTTTCCATATCCTTAATATCCAAAGCGTGTGTTGGGCTTTCGGATCTGCGGGACTTAACCTCAACATTGGCGCCATCTGTGGGAAACTTGAACAAAAAGTTTTCAAGCCAACTATTTTACCCAAACATCAACCTAGTATCAAGATGGTTAGAATCACCTCTCATCATACCAATGAAAGTTCGAAGCGACGCGGAGGGAGTAGGACTCCAGGGAACTGGACCCCTCAAGGGCAATCCAGCCGAGGGTCTTACCAACATTTTGATGGGGACTTCTTCATCCCGAAGCACTGAGGAGGAACCCCCATGCCATGTGGGATCTAGCCCAAGTAATGCAACATATGGCAGATGAGCAAGACGGGGGGCGATCCAGCTATACAGGGGAAACCGGGTACATGACCCCATCCCCACTCCGATCGATGCAATCATTCGATGAGGAGACCACCGATACAGAGACAACCACGACTTCGACCCATTCACGAGCCCATAAGGGAGATCACCGAAGAACTCACACGTCTAAGGGCAGGCAGCACACTCCCAGTGACCACACCCCGACCGGGTCCCAAGCCAGAGGAACTACGCCAGTCGGGCGCCATTTCCAGTATGAAGAATGTGATAACACCAGATTCAGACAGGGACGTCGAAATCAGAAAACACCCCCACCGGAAGGAAATCGAGAGTTTGTTAATCTAGGAACTCCACCACCACCTCCCCTAACGGCTCATGAGGAAGAAATGGCCGAAATGAGGAGGCAGATGAATGAGATGAGGGATCATATGAACAGGGGCACCCCTACAACCTACCCCGGTGCGGGCCGGGATCACTTCCCCCTTCACCCGGGAAATAATGAATGCAGAGATCCAAAGGGATGTCAAACCACCAACCGGTCAGATATATGACGGGGCAGGAGATCCCCACGTACATTTGAGAAGTTACCAAGGAGGGCTCATGCTGTTGGGAGCAACAGAGGCAGCCATTTGCCGACTGTTCTTCAGTACGCTCAGGGGACTCGCCCGGGAGTGGTTCGGAACCCTGCAACCTGGATCGATCGGCATCTTTGTCAAATTACCGTCTTTATTTTTGGCACAGTTTGCTTCCAGTGTCACCCCAAAACGGCACTTCAATTACCTGACCAGTGTTAAGCGGGGACCAAGGGAATCCATCAATCACTTTCTAAAAAGATGGAGAGATGAAACTCTGAAGGTTGGAAGCATGACGAAGGATACATCAATTACCCTGTTCACTGATGTCCTCCGAACGGGAGAGCTGTACACGAATTTGAAAAAGAATCCGGGCACGGCATATGCCGAAGTGCTAGATAGGGCCCGAAAACATGCAGCCCTTGAGGAAGAGATCACGATCAGGGATAAGGTGGTTACACCTTCTGCATCAACAAGACTGGCCGATCGGCTGGGTCCTATCCCAGCGACCACACCCCCTCCAAAGCCAGGACGCTTCACCACGCTCGTCCTTTCCATTGCGACAATTTTTCAGCAGGAGAAGGACAATATTCCCCTTCTAACTGATACCAGGGCCAGAGCCAGACGAAGCATGGACTCTCTTCACTGACGGTTCATCGGCCACCAAAGCTTGTGGTGGCATCGTCATCCTCATCTCCCTTGAAGGATTCAGAGCCTACTATGCCATCCGCTTCAACTTCAGGGTATCCAACAACGAGGCCGAGTATGAGGCCCTCTTTAGCGGCCTCAGACTTGCCGCCGACCTCAAGGCGCGGTACATCAAAATCAGATGCGACTCCAAATTGGTGGTGGGCCAGATCGAGGGCTCATACGAGGCTAAAGA